GATGGGATTCAGCACAGTCCCATTCTCCCCTGCCCACAGTCCCTGTCCTGGCCTAGCCTGGCACTCTGTTCTTCTTGGCACCCTTCTTCTAGCCCCCATGCACACTGGGACACCTGCATGGGGATGATACTGGGATAAAATACTTGCTGGAGGCCTTTGTCAGGGCAATCTGTGGAGTGGTGAGAATGCCAGATATGAGAATAATCCAAATGCCATCAGACTCTCTGCCATGGTTACCTGGTCAGGTGGGCTCTGCCAATACAATCATCAAGATGGAAAGAGATCTTCAAGATCATCCAGTCCAACTGTCCACCAGCACTACCACTGTATCTGCTAAAACTCTAAAACCTATCACCCACTGCCAGATCCAGAGCCTCTTCAACATCTCAGGGATGGCGAATCCACTACTTTCCTAAGCAGCCTATTCCAATGCCTGATCACCCTAATAGTGAAATGTTTTTTCTAATATTCAATCTGAATCTCCTCTGTCTCAGCTTATGACCATTCCCTTTGGTCTCCTCTCTGCAGACATGGCAGGAGAGACCACTCCCCACCTCTCTACAACTCCCTTTCAAGTACTTGTAGGGAGCCATGAGATCACCCCCTGAGCCACCTCTTCTCAAGACTAAACAAAATTCCCTCAGCTGTTTCTCCCCAGACATGTTTCTAGACACTTCACAAGCCTTATTACTGTCTCTGGACTTGCTCCAGCATTGCAGCATCCTTTTTAAAGTGAGAGACCCAAAACTGAACATAGTACTCTGGGTATGTTGGAGTGCTGTGTATGGGAGGGATGATCACTGCTGTCCCATACCATTCTTGCTGCAGGCCAAGATGCCATTGGCCTTCTTGGCCATCCGTGCACACTGTTAGCTCATATTGAGCTGTTGTCAGACAGCACTCCTAAGTCCCTTTCTGATGAACAACTCTTGAGCTACTCCTCCCCGAGCCTATACTGCTGCACGAGGTTGTTGTGTACCAAGTGTAGGACCCAGCGGTTCACCTTATTGAACCTTATGCAGTTATCCTCAGCCCACTGATCAAGTCGGTCCAGGTCTCTCTGTAGAGCTTTCCTACATTCAGCCAGATTGACACTCCTGCCCAATTTAGCGTCGTCTGCAAATTTACTGAGGATGCACTCAATCCCCACATTCAGATAATCAATTAAGATGTTAGACAGGAACACCACAACACTGAGCCCTGGGAAACACCACTGGTCACTGACCCCAGCTGATTTCTCTCCATTCACCACAGCTGTCTGGGATATCAGCCAGTTTTTTACCCATCTAAGAGTTCACCCATCCAAGCCACGAGCAGCCAGTTTGTCCAGGGGTGTCTCCTGCAGCCCCCTTCATGGCTCCATGAGCTTCACTTCTTCCTTCCCTTGATATCCTTCCCTGACACATGCACAGATGAAGTTGCATGCACAGATCTTAGAAGGCAAGAGTAGTGTAAGCTCAGGACAACTGTTGGGCAAGGGTCAGTCTTTCTACACAACCACGGCTGCAGAGGCAGAGATCTCTGGAGAGGCCCTTAGCAAGATGGAAGACACCACTGACACTTCTGGGAAAAAAACATCCAACTCTGATGAATGAGCTCCACTGGAGACTTGGGGGAGGATGAGACCCAGGGATGCAGAGGAAGGGACCCTTCTAATTCACTACAGGAAAAGTCCCCCAATCCCATTCCACTTTCTCCTCCCCTGTAATATTATGGTCTACCCAAGCTCCCAGCTGCATGCAGAGGCATCACCCTTCTGCCTCTGGATGACAGCTGAGGAGATGGAAAACTTCTACCTGTAGGGTAATGTAGGGTGAGCAAGGTCTAGTACTTGCATGGGCAGGAGCAGAATCTACTTGGTGTCTCAGTGTACTTGTCAGACAGCAATTTCACAAGGGGTTGAGAAATGCCTCTCTGCAATCAAGGAGTGAACCAAAACCCTGGAAATGAAATGCAAACCCCTCAGCCATTTCCCCTGAGCCCATCTGTTCAGTACCTTCCTCTACCAAGCATGAGGAACACCCTCTGCCAGAGCAGGGTCCACAGAGAACGTTTTAACAGGGATTGACCTCCATCCACTTCAAGCCTGAAAACATGAGGCCCTGTGAACCAAGAACCCTTACCTCTGAATAGCAGAACAGCACCAGCAGCCAATGGGAGAAGGAATAAAGAGATTTGTATCCAGAAGGCAGAGACAAACAGAGATGTATGTGGGAAAACAGCACCTTTGAAAAGAAAATATCTGTCATCTGGCAATATTCAATTCCCCCCAAATCTGTGTTCCCACCCATAGAGTTCCTGTGCAGATGAATGGAGAAATAGTCACAGTCCTACCTGAGTGGGCACAGCCCGCCTTCTCTAGGGATGTGCACATCTAGGACAAAAGGGACCCTGATCATTCCTCACTGCAACCTCTTGTTCCTGAAGTGCCCCATGGTGGTCTGAGATCTGTCTGACTGGAGTTGTACAGGGCCTTACAGGGCTCTTAAGACAATGAGTCTACAGCAAAGACTTCTCAGGATGATGGGACTCACCTGAGAGGCACACAGTAGTTTTCTTTGTCATCTGCACTAGGGGGTTCAGGATTTGACAGGTGACTTTTCCAACTTGCTCTTCTGTAACTGTGATGCGGCTCAGCACACTGAAGAGTTTCTCACTGTCCTGGTGTGTCTCAGTGTCTGCAGACAGTTCCTGCTCATTCTCAGTAACCCACCGGACAGTAGGTTCAGGGAACCATCCATGTGATCTGCAGGCAAGCTCGAGCCCTTTCCCCTGGGAGCCCAGAATTTCAATGAACACTTCACCAGTACCTTAAAGGCAAGAGAGTTTGTTAGTGGGAGAAGTGTGTTTTGATAAAGAGCACTCAGTTTTCCCTGGCACCACTCCAGGTCATGCCAGCAGTACAGCTGGGCACAGATGGTCACTGCACAGGGACTGTGCCAAAGCTGCACCAGTGTGGGGAGGTGGGATGCACCACACTCCTTTATAAGTCATGCTCCAGAGTTGAAGATTGGTTTCATAGGAATTTGCCCTGGTCAATAGTAGGAAATGGGCATCAGCTGGAAGCATTTCCCCTCTCCTGTCCCGAAAGCTTCTCCAATCCTCTTTGAATGAGTGGATTTATATTCAATGTTAGGGAGAAAGTGTAATGAAGCAATGGTGCAGGTTACCTAGAGAAGTTGTTGCCCTAACCCTGGAATTGTTCAAGGCTAAGTTGGATGGAGCTTGGAGCAAAGTAGCCTAGTGCAAAGTGTCCTTGTCCATGGCTGGAACAAGACAATCTTTAAGGCTCCTCCCAACTGCAGCCATACTACGATTCTATGATTCTGTGCTATTTTTCATCAGTGAATCCAGGCTGACCAGCCCCACCTGATGTTATTGACACCTGTACATAAATGATGCCAACTGACCAGCTGGGTGGGGGAACCGGCAGCCCAGAGCATCTCTTTAGCTCTAAGAAGTCCCAAGGCTGAGCGTACTGATTCATAGCAGTACCACAGCCAGGGATGCTGAGCACTTGTATGTCTGTCAGGTGGGTTTACACCTCCCCAGCAGTGATTATTGCAGCTCACCAGCCCCACATGTGTCAGAACCGGGCTCAGACTGGGCATGGAGCTTGCAGAACAACTTTTGGTGTAGGAGCTCACTCCCAGTATCATTGCAGCTTTAACAAGCTGTTTCTGCCTGCTCCATTTCACCACACAATGCCACTGCCTTCAAGCATGCAGGTCAGGCTCTGTATCTATCAGAAGATTCAGCTTGAAAGCTCCTTCCTTGCCTAAAACTACAAGGGCTGCCTACCCAAAAAATGGGGCTGGTCAGATCACCACAATGGTGGTAGCTTATGGGTTGCATTTTCTGGGCTGCTTACAGACCTCCCAGTGACTTAGAAATAAAGTATCTCATCAATCAAAAGGCAGGTGCCATGTGGCCCACAGGCTGCTCTGAGGTGGTGTGTTGGGTTGTATAAGGGGGAATCGACTGGCGGATAGTGACATTTCAGACAGTACATTTCCCTCTGTAACCGCTTCACACCTTCCCCACACAGACCAGGATGTGTCCAACCTGCAATGCTGAGCCAGGTGTCCGATTCATCCATCCAGTCCCTGGACTCCACAATGCAAATGTATCTTCCTTCATCTGCTGGCTGGACATTCTTCAATGTCAGGGACACGTTCCCAGTGGCAAATCCATCTCCTGGCACTGATGTCCGCCCACGGTATTTCTGCACTGGTTCACCACCAAACTGCCCATATGTGTAGATGTTTTCCAGATGCCCATCTATAAGGTTCTTCCATTGCACTTCAGGGGTGTCCAGTGGCTTTGTGGAAGAGACGATGCAAGGAAGGATTGTGTCCTGGCCGACAATGCCCACTACATTCTGGGGTGCAGTGACCTTGAAATTATCTGTGGAAACCAAAGTTGAATGAGCATCTGGCTGAAATCAATCAGAAAATGTGCTTGGGTGAAGGACACAGAGGTCTGGGAAAAACATATTTCCCTGCTGAGAAGAATGTGGAACAGTTGAAAATTGCAAGTACTCAGTAATGACACTGGTTCCTTCTGTTAATGCACCAAGATATCTTTTAGGGAAATTGCAAGTTACAAAAAAAAATTCTTAGGAAAGCAGAACTAATGATTTGCTGAAAATGGTTCACTTATTTTCTTCCCTTTTTATAAAGGAGAAATTAATTTTGGTTTGGGTATTCACCTCACTCACTTTCTCATCTCCTTCTATTCTCTGAACACAGTGGAAACTGGGAAAATCAAAACCTCAAAATAATAAAGGAGAGGGAGAAACAAGGCTGATACTAGTTGTACAGGATGAGGTTATTTGGGGGAAAAGGGAAAAAAAAATCTTCAAATCAGGTGCAGAGCCATTTCATCCAGCTCCCAGCCTGCCCTGACCATTTGCCCCCCTGTGCCACCAGCAGTACAGCAGCTGTGCCAATGCCCGTGCAGGCAGGGAAATACTCTTGGCACTGCATCAGGGCTGGATGTGGCAGAGCTGCATTGACTTAGGGCTTTCCCTGGCTCACCAAAGGAGAGAAACTCAGGCTAGAATGGGGTGGATTACAAAACAGCAGAGGAGAAGAGCAGCTCTGCTCTTTTGGAGTTCAAATCAAGGCTTCCCAGGAGACCATGAGCCTCAGCTCGAGAACTTCTGGTCATCTGCAGATCATCCTTCAGAATGAGGATGTCCCTCAGAGCAGGACAGCACATGGAAGTGTTACCTGAGGGAGGGATGGATGTAAGCAGCGACACAGCCAACAGAAGCCATCTCCTCTGGTCCATAGCTGCAGGTGTGCTTGTGGGATGATCATGCGGCTGACCTGGAACAATCACAGAGTACAAAAAGAAGGGAAATCCTGTCCCAAACCCATCTGATATCTTACACCTGGCGCTTGCCTTCAGCTGCAACTTCTGAAGATGCAAAGTGCTCAAACAGTTGAGTTTAGACATCAAGAAAACTTTCCAAATATCTTAAATACCCTCAATTGGAGCTTCTGGGAATTTCTCTCAGTCTAATGTGCTCCCAGGATGTTGTGACAGGGCATGGAAGACAGGAAAATTCAACCCAGCCCCCACTGACAGCTATAAAATTTAACAGACACCTTAATTAACACACCAGCTTAAATCTCTGGTCTGGTCTGCATGAGTCTCCCTCTCCATGCTCTGAGATGCGGGGAAAAGGAGGATGAAACTGTCTTTCCCCTCCCATGCCTATGCTTAGAGGAAGAAAACCAAGGTCCTTGCTGTCTTGAAATTACCACTTCCTGGGAACCCTAAGACTGTATAGTGACAGTACATCAGCTCCAGCACAAACCTGGTATCGTTTCAGGAGCTGCACCAGAGTTGCTTTGCTGCACTATGATACAGATCCTGCCCTTCCCTGGCTCTCACTCTCTGTGCACTTTGACATTTCCAGGATGTGCCTGACTGTCCTTATCTCAGTTCCCATAGCAACACTTTCAGTTTATCTTTATTACTTTATTCCTGTTCAATATTCCATGGTTAGTGAGCAGTGAGGAAGGTGAGGCATCCTGACGACCTCCCTGCAGGAGTCAATCACCTTGCACTGCAGTGTCTGGATACATCCTTACTGCACAGACAAGGTGACCTACAGGTCTCACAGCTACATCTGATGCAACTAAATCAGATGCTGTTGGAACAGGTGTGGTGGTGGTGGATCAAGGCAGACATCAGTATACCTTATTCTAGATTAATTCTTCTTGTGCTGGGAAGACACCTGCCAAGTTTGGTCAGCTGTATAAGCACAAGTGGAATGACAGGAGAAGTATTCAGTTCACCTAGTTTTAATCATAAATTCTCCCTCTTCATTTGGTAAAGAGAGACAGGGGCTCCTGAAGGGATTTCATCTTATTCAACATAGACCTTTACTTTAGGGATTCATCTCCACTTTGAAATTCACAGCACAGACTGTTCCCTCTAAACTGGTTGCTCTGTGCTCTGTTTATGGTACATGGAGGTAAGGGGGCACTGTGGGGTCTCTGGCATGGTTTAGGCGAGGATACGGTGAAGCACATAGAGCAGGGCTGGTTTTGGAGTCAGTATAATAATAATGATATCACACTGATACTTCAGTTGTTGCACAGTTGTGCTCATCCCAAATGAAGGACTTACCAGTGTCTCATGCTCTGCCAGTGAGCAGGTACCTGAGAAGGTAGGAAAAAAATATCCAGCCCAGCTGATGTGAACTGGCCAAAGGGATATTCCAGATCACAGAACATCATACCCAGTATATAAACTGAGAGCAGCTGGCTGGAATGGGGCTCATCACTGTCTGGGTATGGGCTGGTTATCAGTGAGTGGGTGGTAACTAATTGCACTGGGCATCACTTGGGTTTTATTTCTCACCCTCTCTCCTCTTCATTACAATTCTTCCTATTATTGTTATTACTTCTTTTAATTTGTTTCCATTATCAAGATGTTCTTAACCAACAAGGTTTACTTTTTTCTTCTGATCCTCCTCCCCACCTGGGGGGTGTCAGGAGCCATGGACTGAGTGAGCAGCTGCATGGCACTTAGTTGCCATCTCGCCACAGATCTCAGGGTGAAACAGCCACAGCCTTTGTTCCACTATCACCCACATGTCCATAGACTGCATAGGCAGCTCACGTCACTGAATGAGAAACTTCAGAAAATGTATTGTTAAATTCTGCTGCTTCCACTGCCCACGGTTTTTCAGGGGCTTGGACATACACTGAGGTCATACTTTGCACACAATTAACATATGAGACTGTATGAAATTTTGTTGGAGGCACTAATTTGGAGATCTAATACAGGAAAGAGATAAATCATTTATAGACATGAGCGGATTGTGCTCCTCAGTCACTTAAAAGGATGTCTCAGGGGCTGTGTCAGATATTTTCTTACTCTCACTTTTAAACATATTCCTGTCATCCAAGGAAGGCCCAAACGAAATGTTGTCTAACAAATCATCAGTTACTACTTCAGACCAAAACTACATTCCCAAACATGCTAAATGCTTTTTAAAAGAAAACATGTGAAAACAGTCCTAAAAATTTCCACAACAACCAACAAACCCAAGGCAGAGTTTCTCCATCCCCTGAGGCTTCATGTTTAGCACTGCTAAACAGACACACCGTGACACAGTTTAACTGTGATCAATAATGGATGTTACACTGGAAGGGGGGAAAATGGAGTTGGATTGACCTTGACTCTGCAACATGTATGAGATCCACAAAGATCACTGAGCGCTCTGGAATTATAAGATGAATGATTTAATGGGTAAACACAGATGATGTCATGATTATGTGGCATTTCTTGCTTATGAACAGAAAACCTTAATCTTTCAAGGTACTAATCAGGAAATTTGAAGCTTATTAATATTTCTGCAGCTGCAACTAATCTCTGGGTGCTGTGATAGTTACCCTCTCCCCAAGTCACCATAAAATCAAGACAGCTTCATTCTATTTCAGCTTTCAGCAGGAGGATTTCCAAGTGGCCATACTTGGAACCAGCTTTGCTTACTGAGAAGTGACTTCTAGAGTTACTCATCAGCCTTACTTTGCCTCAAGGCAGTGCCCCAATGGGGTCCCTGGGGCCAGCAGTCCTCTCCAGAGGAGGAATACTGCCCTTCTCTACTGCTCTTCAGGCCCCTCTTCCAAGCCATACCAGGACAGCACAGCCAGCTCTGGGCACCAAAGGCAGCAGCACAATTTTGGGGAAACAAACCTCAGCCCCAGATGGCCTGTCCATACCTCAGCTTTTCCCACACATGACCATTCCCCGTCACTTTGATTTTCTTTCTCAGACCTACTGGTATCAGCCATGCTGTTGATCCCCCCAGTTCCTTGCCACCTGCCCCTGAGGACACATGGGGGATGAGAAGAGCTTGCTGGCCCCTGCATGCACAGCTGGGGTGAAGGGAAGAGAGTGGTTCCTTTCTGCCCTGACAACAGTACTGCATTCACAACTTGTTCAGAAGGGAAAGAAATCAAAGAGACTTGCTTACCTGACTTAGTCAGCAATGGTGAGCACTGATATGGACAGGGATTTCTCTTCTTCCTAAAGAAACTTCCATCTGCAGAAGGGAAGGAAAATGAACAGAAAAATCTGGTTCTGAAGTTTCAATGTGCCATTTCTCTACCCAAAACTCACTTTGCTACCTGGAGGTTACATCTCATCTATCATGAGGGCTATGTGTTGGTGTTGTAGGCAGCTAGGTGCAAATGAATCTTCGGTGTGGCAGAGAGGTTTAAGACAAGCAGAGATCCTGCTCATTGCCCACAGTGTGTACCTTGTTTCAGAATTAGAGCTGGATTTTACCTGTTGTCAGATAAGAGCAATCTCCAGATATTCATTTACAGGTCAAATATTAACTTTCATCAGGTCATTACGGGATTAACTTTGAACAGTCATAGAATCAAATGGGTTGGAAAAGACCTCAAAGATCACTGAGTCCAACCCTACTGTTGTTACTAGACCATGTCACGAAGTGCCACATCAGTCTCATCTTGAAAACCTCCAGGGATGGTGAATCCACCACCACCCTGGGCAGCACATTCCCATGCCTAATCACTTGCTCCATAAAAAAGATCTCTTCCTAATATCCAACCTAAACCTCCCTGGCAGAGATTGAGTCTGTGCCCTCTTCTCCTACTGCTAGTTGCCTGCGAGAATAGACCGACCCCCACCTGACTACAACCTCATTTCAGGTAGTTGTAGAGGGTGATAAGGTCTCCCTTGAGCCTCCTCTTCTCCAGGCTAAACAACCCCAGCTCCCTCAGCCTCTCCTCATAGCCTCGTGCTCGAGTGCCTTCATCAGTCCCATTGCTATTCTCTGGACCCACTCCAGCATTTCAATATCCTTCCTGAGCTGAGGGCCCAGAACTGAATACAGTACTCAAGGTGTGGCCTCA